TCCACATTCATCGCAGACCACCTCATGCAGGCCCGGCCACCACCGCAGCAGCCGCACACGCAAAAACAAGCGCAAGGGATGTAATAATGCAAGCAATCATTTATTTGTTTTTCTGTTTGGATGTTGGCGGATGTTTTCATGCTTTTTTTCATTTTGTTTTTGCAGAGAGCAAACCTTCATGCCTGGATCGTGTGTTTCAAGAATTTCCGCAGGGTGCACAATTATTTGTTTTCCCACTTGTGCATTTTTTTCTTGTGTTGGTGCATCCAATAATTCGGTTTATGTTGTTCCTGCCTTTCGCTGGTAAAGTGCTGCAATAGGTGCTTTTATTTCCTCCGTTCGTTGCTGTGGCACATGATTCCTCACCGTTTATTGCGGTGGAGATGAAAATATGTGAGTGGACTCCCACGCACCAGAACGCACCTTCGCTCCTATTTACTGCTGCACGGAAGGGCATGTGTGTTTGGTGGTGCCTCGTCCATATATTTTGTGGGCGTACATTCCCCTGCAGGCTGAGGGCGGGATGACGCTCCGTCGCGGTGCACTTCCCTCGCATGCCGCCCACTGTGGTTCATCATGCATCACCCCCTCACACATTCCGTGGTGCCACACCGTTGATATTATTGCAGCCGCCGTGACTCCGCATATTTCACGCATTTGATTGTGCCACAATACATCCGCTCGTGTGGCCGCCGCATCCAAACAGCGGTGCCCAGCACCGTGAGCGGCAGTCCACATCCTTGCATGTCCCAACGCAGTGGTGTTGGACTGTCAGCCAGACGTCAGACAACAAGAGAGTCTTGTGCTGGCAGTACAACACACGGAGCTGCAGCGAATGACTCGGGCGGCGACGCATCTATTCGTCGCAAAGCACTAAAAAGGAGTCGGGCAAAATAATGCCGGCAGCATTCAAGACACCACATCCACAGCCAAAGCATGCGACGTGATGTGTGTTTCATTGGTGCTGTGGAATGCCTGCAGACGACGTCACTAGTGGAGGCATGCCACCCATGATCAGCGGACAGACAATAATCGGCATGGGAGGCCACAAGAGGCAGCAACGACGCCAGCAGCAGGAGCAGCTCTCTCTCTCTGTTGCCTCCGAGAAGCAATTATTCCACCAGCCACAGCTGACTGTGCCATCGTGACACTCCATGCACGCCGTGGCTGCGTCAACACATCCTGTTCCCTGCAGCGCCTCGAAAGACGCCTCACTCCGTCCACTAAGTGCATCGGTGTGGGCCGTGCCTCGGCTGTTCGTGAGGACCACAACGATGTGAGGGTCACCGAGTCGCAGCATGTTTGTTGTGACGTTGTTGCATGGCACCTGCACACACACACACAGCGCCTGCATCCCTCCCTGTTGTGTCCGCTCTCCGCCGGAGTGGCCACACACACGGGCAGCAGCAAAATCACTTCACCCTCGACGATCCAAAATCAACACCGACATCCCTCGCAACGCAAAGATCTCAGTTGCCAGCACGGGCTTCCTGTCGCTCTGCCATCGACGCTGAAACACGGCACAGTGCACGCACTTATTTTCCTCGTGTGCAGTCAGCCGTTTGCTTCACACATTCTTCGACGGAATGACGTCCACAAAAGCACGCCACAAAAGCCACCGTGATCGCACAAGCCCTTGCGATGAGCGTCGGTGTGTGCGTGCATCCGCTGCTCACACGTGCTGGCAGGCAGCCTGCAGCCGGTGCACTCGTGCCAGTTCGTCGGCTCCAGCACGGAAAAGAGAAAGTGGCCTATTCCCGATGCACTTATTCCCACCAGCAGCACCAACACGCTGGGCGCCAGCCGTCATTCCTCAGCACATCCAGGAATGCTGAAAAGTAACGTGGAGCTGTCAGCCAGCAATGCCACAATCCCGCACACACGTCGGCTCCACCAGAAAAGAAACACAAATCACAAACAACACCCTCCACATGTCATCCGAACATCATTCCGACACACCGCGACACGCCAAACAGAAGTATTCGTCACTCCATGCACCTCCCCACACAATCACATAGTCCATGCACCACGCACGGCAGCGGCTCACACGCGGTCAAACAAATGTCCCTCGGATCAGTGGCCTCCACGTGCTGCGGTGGGAAGTAAACAAAAGAGACGAGCCGCCAAACCCCAAAAGAGCGCCACGACTGGCCGCAAGTCAACGGAACGCAGCCACCCAAATGAATTCAGTCCTGATGCCCTCAGCCTCCCACCTTCCCCACAAAAGCTGCAAAGATTGAAAACAGACGCACCGTCCAATAAACTCTTTGTGCAAAGCCAAAAGAAGCCGCAGTGCCTCCTGCTGCCCTCACAGTCCGTTGATGACGCCTGGATGCGGATGGTCACCCATCGGTACTTCCAAACGACGCCGCACACCCGCGACGCATCCTGCGCTCTAAGACATGCGGCCCTCACTATCACCAGAGACGCCCACGCACCGTCAGCACGCAACAAATCGTCAAGGAACGAAGGATAAGTCAGACTGACAGCAAGACACCCGCCGACAAATCACAGCACAAACATCATCACAAGCAGAACCAAAAGCAATGCAGGCCGCAGAGTAGCGTGAATCAACTGACGCACGGCGTATGTAAAAGAAAAAAAAAATCAGTGGCGTTACAAGAATACAAGAGGCTGACACTCTCTCAACAAGAAAGGAACAGTATAATAATACACAAAAAGCAAACAATTTAGGCGTCCACCGTCAAAGCAAGCCACGAATCGAAAAAAGGGCAATGGAATGGGTGCACTCAACCAAACCACACGTAAAACAATAAAACAAAAAGCCGAAGCGTGGGACGACCAGCGCACACACACTCTCATTGCTCCCGTAAAGCAAAACACACACACAGAGGGAGAGAGAGAGAGGTCGCCCACTCAGTGCAATAAAAACAAAACAGAAACAGTTACGGTGCTCCGCCCATGCAGCCAGGCAGGACGGCAGCGGTGCGTGTCGTGCAAAAGAGAGCACCAACGGGCCTGCATGGGTGTGCATGCATATATACAATGGGCACATTATGTGTGTGCCTCGTGGGGTGAGGTGAGGGCGAGAGTCCATGCAAGGGGACACACACACAGAGAGAGAAGGAAGAGTGTGTGTGCGGGCGGTGCACGGCTCTCTCTCCCTCACTCTCACGCGGCCACCACCGCAGCAGCAGCCGCACAGCAACAACAGTAAGAAGAGGAAGAAGAGGGGAGGTGGTGTGGGAGACCGCGGTGCTGCTGTCACTGTCAGTTATGGTCTCTGTATTGCTCGTTTTATTGGTGGCGTTTTCTGGTACTGTTGTGTATCTCTCAGCATTATCTGCCTGAGTGCCCCTGTTTCCTGAAGCGGTTTCAAATTCCACAGTCTTATCCTTGTGTGCCACGTCATCATTGACGTCGTCGTTATTAGACTGTTCAAGGTCACTCGCATCACCAGAGGCTTGGGTGCTTCTTGTGCCAGCGGTAGGCCTTTCAGCAGTAGAAGCTGCAGGGCTGCTGTCGCTGTCGTCATCATTTGTCGTGGCAATTATACCAGCGTTGGGTATTTCTTCTGCTTGCAATTCACTGGTGCTGGCTGGCAGGGCAGCGGGGCCAGTATCTCCCGCGGAATCATGTTATGTTACTGAGGCGGCAGGAGGTTGAGGATTGTTAACACCACCCTTCCCCACCGTGCTTCCGGCAATACCGCTGCCAGATTTGGAGGCGGATAATGGAGTTGTAGCCTCTGGAATTTCTTTGGATGCACTCCGCTGTGTATCCGAGGAAATTGTTTCTCCTTCTTCGTGCCCTGAAGCATCTTTCGTTTCGAGCATCTCCTTTTGTGTGAGTGACTTCCGTCTCGCGGCCTTAAGTTTTCTTCCACTGGAATTGGTGTCCGTTTCTCAGTTAATCCTAAAGGCTTTGATGGCCCCGCTTCTGTGCCTTCTTTTGGTGGTGGTGGTGGTGGTGGTTGATTTCCCCTGCCATTTTCACCTTCTGTTTGGCCGTCTTTTGACACGCCGCCCACAAGCCTTGAATTGGCGTTGAAAAGTCCATGCTCAGCGTGTTTTGGATTTTGACTGCCACCCGCAACAGTCAATGGCAAGTCTGCCAACTCTTGAATTCCAGTTGGATTGGCGGGGTTGACGACTGAAGTCGCCTTGTCTTTTTCGAAATTTGGTTCACTCTTGTCTGCTTTCAAATTATTTTCCCCCTCCCGGCACTTTTGCAAATTCTTCCCGTCCTCCTGCTGGATTCTTCTTTTCTGCTTGCAACGTGTGGCCTCAAAAAGACAATCCCTTCAATTTGTCGTCGTTCTCTTTGCGATGATCCTAATCATTACCAGAACCACCAGCAGCAGCAACAGCCACGGCAGAGTGTTGACGCCTCCAACGACGACGGCCATCCACAACGGCACGCACACCGTCCATCCCTTGACGGAGGCATTCCCCAACGGCGGACGCATTCGCCCTGCCTCCCGTCCTTCTGCCGGCCTCCTCCGCGCATCCCCACCGCCAGCAGCGCACCACAGCACGCAGAGGACACACACCAGCAGCACACGGCCAGTCATCATCGCCATCACTCCTGTCACTTGCGTGTGGCCTTCAGCAAAAGTAACACCACGTCAACAGAGTGAAAAGCAGAAAGATAGACACAGCCGCTACACCACGCACAGCAACAAATGGCAGCATCCCAGCAGCGGCGCACACACCACGAGACAAATGGAATCAGTACGATTGCAGAGCTCGCACACCACACCGCAAACCACAAGTTTAAAAAGCAATAAAAAGCAATAATTAAAAAGAAATTAAAAAAGAAAAACAAACCCAGGGCTCCAGTGCGCATGCTTATGAGTGTGTCCGCGATGCGTTCAACGTGGCGGATGCGGGGCACAACGCGGAGCACACAGCACGGCAGCAGAAGCAAGTGAAGCAAAACAAGATCATTATTTTCTCTTATTTTATACAGTGAACCACAACACACGCGCACAAATCCCCGCGGTTGAGTGCTGGCACGCACAGCCCGCACACACCTCTTCAGCCCACAGCGGTGTACGCCAGCGCGGATGCGGCGAGCACCAGCGGGGCACACACCCACGCAGAGCTGCTGAGGCTGCCGTCGGTTTCGCGAAGACGTGACGGTGCGCTGGTGGTCGACACAGCTGGCGCCTCAGTAGTCGTAGTACTTGGTGCCTCTGTTGTAGTAGTGGTCGTGGTTGGTGCCTTTGTTGTAGTCGTCGTTGTCGTTGTCTGAGCAGAGGCTTCAGACTTCTTATTTGTTTGTTCTGTAGGGATGTTGTTGCCACTTATTGGTCCAGTCGTGTCTTCCGTACCTTCTCTTTGTACCGTATTATGCGCACCACTTGATTGCGAATGCGGACTGGGCGAATTCCCTGCATCTCCCGCAGTATTTCCGCGTTCCGCAGCGGCCCCATTACTTGATGACCCTAGCTGATCGGCCTCCTGTGGTGTCACTGATGAAGGGGTCAATTGACTGGTAACGCTTCCATTAGCTCCAGACATAGTTGATGCCGGTATTGTGGCCGTTTTGGAAGAAGCGGCAGCTTTAGGCTGAGTGTCTCCCGCGTGCACGGACGGGCAGAAGCACAGGGCAAGCACCAACAGGGCGCACAGCAGACGGCACGTCATCATAATCGTGAGTGTGGTCGTTCAGTGGTGTGGAGCTGATCTGCACAGTGAGGGAAATTGAGAGCAACAGGGGAGACGAGAGGTGCGGCAGACACACACAGAGGGCACACCACATGAGGAGAGGGCAGCAGCCAGGCATGCACCGTACGCCGCACACCACGCACGACACACACTCCAATCCACGGCAGCAGGCACACACACACACGCAGCCGCGGAATGGGTGCACTCAACCACAAAATCAAAAAGAAAACAAAACAAAAAGCCGAAGCGTGGGACGACCAGCGCACACACACTCTCATTACTCCCGTAAAGCAAAACACACACACAGAGGGAGAGAGAGAGGTCGCCCACTCAATGCAATAAAAACAAAACAGAAACAGTTACGGTGCTCCGCCCATGCAGCCAGGCAGGACGGCAGCGGTGCGTGTCGTGCAAAAGAGAGCACCAACGGGCCTGCATGGGTGTGCATGCATATATACAATGGGCACATTATTGTGTGTGCTTCGTGGGGTGAGGTGAGGGCGAGAGTCCATGCAAGGGGACACACACACAGAGAGAGAAGGACGAGTGTGTGTGCGGGCGGTGCACGGCTCTCTCACACTCACTCTCACGCGGCCACCGCAGCAGCAGCAGCAGCCGCAACAAGAAAAAGAGGGGAGGTGGTGTGGGAGACCGCGGTGCTGCTGTCACTGTCACTGTCATTTGTAATTGCTGTGTTATTTGGACCAAAGGCGGTCTTCTCTTTCTTTGTTTCTCCGTCATTTTTGAGGGAATGTTTATGTTGGTGGTCTTCTTCTGTAGCTGCCGATTCAGGAAATTCGGCATCTTTTCGAATGTTCGCGTCTTCCTCGTCTGCCCCAAGTGCGGCAGCAGCACCACCTTCTCCTGCAGAAGATTGTGGCAACGGTGGGTCAATGGTTTCATTTGATTTACTTTTCGTTGAAACCAAGGGAATTTCCCTTTTCAATGGATCTGATGAACTGGCGGCGGATCCCTCCTGTTGCATGCCCTGTGGTTTTACAGGTGGCGGTGACGGTGGCGTTGAAGTTGGCTCTGTCGTTGAAGCAGTCGGCACCTTTTCTTTTTGTGCTTTTGGTAGTTGCGGTTGTTCTTCCCCCCGGCGTCGTTTTTCCTGTACTTCTTCATGGCCTTGAAGTAAATGGTCATGCTGGGATAATCCTCTGTGCTGTACGTCGGTCTCGTGTTGTGGTTGTCCTGGCTCTACTTCCGGTTGCTTTCCTTCCTGCTGCGCTGAGTCTCCTTGTAGCGCTGCTTCTTGTCCTACAAGTTGATTTCCTTTTATTACTGAAGCGTCCTCACGTGACGATTGTTTTTCGTGACTTTCTTTGTTTTTCTGTTTGTTCTGCTCTTCAAGTCTTTTTTTGTTTTTACTTCTTCAACATCTTGCCGTACTTGCCGCGTGACTCCTGCATCTTGCACTGGGTTGGTTTGATGACTCTGACCAGCACCGGTAGGTGGAGCAGGAGGCTGTAGGCCTGTTTGGGGATTTGGGTCACTGGACTTGTGTGACGGCAATGACGGATCGGTAGGAATGGCATCTGTGTCGTTTGTCGTCGCCTTCGTACATTCCGCGGTATTTCCTTCCGACCCCGGCTCCACGGAGCAGGACTTGTGATCCAAACCTTCTCTTCCATCCATAACTTCAGATGATCCACCTTGTGGGGCTTCGGACCTCTCAGAAGAAAAATCCACATTCTCATCAGACTCATCACCATTGACCACCGAAGCGCTGCACCACAGCACGCAGAGGGCACACACCAGCAGCACACGGCCAGTCATCATCGCCACCACTCCTGTCACTTGCGTGTAGCCTTCAGCAAAAGTAACTCCCCGTCAACGCAGAGCAAAAGCAAAAGGAGAGACAATTCCCACAGCCACGCACCGTCCCATCCAGCAACGAGAGTCACGCACCACAACAACAATTGGGTGGGCATGGTTCAACAACAATCAAAAAAAGAGGTGCTCCTCGCCAGTGCCCTGTTCCTCACACTCTCACAGTCACTGTTGCTGTTATTCCCTCTCCTCAGTCCCTCACAGGCACGCCACGCCCACTTCAAGACGCGCCCCTCCAGCACACGCAGTCCGTCATGCGCTCCCGCTGCGCCGCAAAGTCCGTCACCTCCTCCCAGTCAAACAGCTCCGTGTCCTCCACGTCCCTCACAATCGTCGGCATGCCTCAGCCGCGCAACACCCACAGCGCCACAGTGTCGTGCCGCCTCTCCTCCCCAATCATGAACGCAACACCCAACGTGTACTCGCGCACGTGCTCCATGCGCTGCAACCACAGGCCGATCAGGTTGGCCGTCATGAACTGCATCTTGTCGTCCTCCGTGTACTTGGAGCAGACCCTCACATTCTCTCAATCCACGGCCTGGGTGCTGCGAGAGGCTGCCGAGAGGCGCCACGTGTGTGGAAGAAGCAAATGTGGGGAAACAACGGCCACCCTCACTCCCTCACACATCTCCACTTCCCTCCACTGTCCCACACAAAAGGGCGGTGTCATGGGGAAGAGATGCCCGCCGCACAGCACATGCACGAGGGCACACGCGGAAGCAATGCCATCCACTTCGCACCGCAAGATACTGCCATGCGCTCAGCACACACACGGCGGCAACGAGAGCGACGGGGTGCATCCAATTACATACCGCACAGCCATTTACTTCTCTCCGCACGGCTAGTGGCGTCCCACACTCACAGTGAGGCACGGCGCACACCATCTTCTCCCTCCGAGGGCACTCAGGAGGCCGGCGCCCAGTCACCCTCGTGCCATCGCAATGGGTAGCACAAACAACCGTCGTCGCAAACCATCGGCGCCTCTAGCAGAAAAGAAGAAAAAGATATGAGGGCAGTTCAGAAACACAGCCAGCAGAGGGACACCCAACGACACACGGAGGCAAACAATGACAGTGGACACGGCACGGACAAAAAGAAGTCCGCAGGGATTTTTTAAAAAAGAAAAAAGAAACTAAAATGAATCAGTAGGACTTCCATTTCGTGTGCCATGCAGCACAAGACGATCACGTGCGCATAAATATTACCTGCACAAGTAAAAAATGTAATAAAAAAAAAGAAAAAAATCTTATTACTCCACCAGCCCACACAACATCCCTCACATTTCACGCGGCATCCGGCCTCTTCTTCCAATCCCCGTTCCCGCAGTCTGTGGGAAGCACAGCAGCGGAGCCGGCACCGCGTGTGGGCAACAGCAAAAAAGAAACACACAAGAGAGAAAACACGTCGCCCATTCCAGTGCACATCAACCGAACATTAAATAATGAGAAGAAAAAAGGGCACTTATTACTCCAGTGGAAAAGCATCAAAAAGAGCATTACAAAGAAGAAAAAAAGGTTTAAAAAGCGATCCGTAAATCATTAAAAAAGAGGAGAAAAAACAGTAACATAAAAACCGCAAAGTATGCGGCAAATATCCCCCGTGGGGAGTCACAATTCCACCCTCTTTCGCTCGAAGGACTACCACAACTCCACACAACCCCAGAAGAAGCAGCAGCAACGCCAGAGACACGCACACACGCGCAGTGCGGCCGCCAGTTGAATCGAGTGGTATCAACTTCACGTCGTCAAACAGGACGAGGCGGCCGTCTGGACTCACGCCGCTCCAGATCGCGCAAGGACACATTTCTTGATGCCGTTTTGGTGTTCCGGGGACGTTCTGACCATTCATTCCTCCCGCAATTTTCCCAGGAACGTGCTCGCCGCTGCCGTCAACGGCCTCACTCTTACGGGCATCCCTCGAGCCCACTGCCTTCCTCAACGCGGTGGCGAGCGCAGTCTTCGTCACGAATGCATTCGGATCCATTTCTATGTTCCGACTCATGGCAATGCTAGGCTTCCTATTGGGTGGTGTTGAAGCCACGTTTTCTTTCGGATCGGTTGCAATGCGAAGCTTTTTCCTAGACGTGTTTTTCGCCGTGTTGGATGCGGGACTCGGATCGACGGTGTTGGGTCCGTCAGCCGCCGCAGACCGTCGCCAATCCTCGTGTTGACGTGACGGCTCAGCATTCACTTGCGGCGCAGTTGTCCCACCAGATTTTGTGTCATCCTTCCCTTCACGAGGTGGCGGCAACTGACAGATGCCCGTCCGGTCAGCATCGCTGCTCCGTGCAGGCGGATGGATGGTTCCATCGGGGAAAATTGACGCCACCACAATTCATAGGGCCGGCGTATTTATGCGTCGTCACATTCATCGTGAAGGCAACGGTGGCCCCTTCCTCTTCCGTTGCACAGCTGACAGCACAGTTGCTACATGTGTGCACCGCATGGGCCACATGACACACAGCACCCAGCTCACCATCCCTGCAGTGCATGTGCACATCAAAGCCACTGAAAGTATAATTCTCACACTGAGCCTCAGCACCGGCAGCGGAACACTTCGTCCACGCCACACACACACGCGATAGCTCAGGCTGCCGTCACTCGGAGCACACGACACATCCACCGGCACAACCACCGCATCCGCATCACCAGATACAACTCCAGGAATCCCAGCAGCCGTCACGCACACGGAAGTGCAGCAGCAGCACGAGAGCGCAAGGACCAACACGGTGCCGCACCGTCACCATCGTCATCATCACCGGTATTGGTGTCGCTGGAGTCAGCCAGCTGATCGGTGGGACAGAAGAAAAAGAATGCAACAAGAGGGAGAGGGACGGGGCACAGCGGATGCAGCGCGAGAGAGCAGACAAAATGAGGAAAGGGCAGCAGGCCCAGCCGCACAGCTCACACACCACGAGACGGCATCCACCACCATCTCCCCCAGATCATTCCTGCTGTCTCAGAGAAATGGCCAAAGCCCCGCGGCCACCACACAACGCACACGGAGCAAGCACCCACCACACGAGGCAGAAGCGGAAGCAAAACCTCATCCATCCATGACGTGGCAACAAAATTTCCTGCCATTCCGCCCTCCATGGAACACGGAGCCCAACTCAACGCAGTCACACGCAGTGCATCAAACCCGCAGGA